ATTTGCAAGTTCATCAGTCCATTTCATGTTTTTGCTTTTTTTCCTCTGCGCTTGCAGTTTTTTTGACATAATTCTTTAATACTTATTGGTTCTTTATTTCCCATACCAAACCTTACTTTAGCAGATATGATAGGTTTTATAATCTTTCTTTCTAATTTTTCACGAGGTGTAGGATTAGGTATAGCATCCATTTGTTCAAGCATTATTTTATCAGCTAAATTTCTATTCTCTTTATCTGTAAAATGTTTATAAGCAAGATCATGAATATAAGCTGTTTTATCAACTCTATCTACAGGCATACTCCATTCTTTAGGCATCTCAGTAGAAGTTAATCTTTCATCTAAATTAGTACCAGGTCCTGCAAAGTTCATACCTGGTATATGCATTTCACCTGGAAACTTTTGCAAAGGTAATTTTCTATTACTTGTAAATTTATTAATAGATTCTACTAAATCACCTCCTTTTTGTGCTCCTTTTGTAAATTGACATTTTCTTGTTCCGCAGATTGTGCAATTTCCACATTGCATATTTCTTTTGTTTTTACTCACAGCATGTTGTAAGTTGAGTGTATCTGTTTTGTTTTTACATTTAACGCAATACATTTTTTATATATGTATTTTAATTTATTTAACACAAATCTATTTAAAAAAATACTTTTCGTAAATAAAAAATGGAAATTATAGATTTATCATGGAATGTAAATAAAAGTAAACGTCAAAATAATGAGTTATTACCTAAAAGTATAAGAGGGATTATTGTTGGAAAATCAGGTTGTGGAAAAACAACATTATTATTAAACTTGCTATTAAGACCTGGTTGGTTAGACTATAATAATTTACAAGTTTTTGGAAAATCTCTTTTTCAACCTGAATACAAAATATTAAAAAATTCTTTTAAAAATAAATTACCAAAAGAAGTTATTCTTGAACTATTTAAGTTACAAGATCAAATAAATAGAAACAATGTAAGTCCAGAGTTTATTATTAAAAACATTTCAAGAGATTTAAAAGATAAAACAGATATAGAGTGTCAATTTTTTGAAACAGCAGAGGATGTTCCAGAACCTGAAATTCTTAACTCTATTAAAAATAATTTAATGATATTTGATGATTTACAATTAACAAAACAAAACAAGTGTGAAAAGTACTATAAAAGAGGAAGACATAGTAATGTAGATTGTTTCTATCTTGCACAAAGTTATTTTGAGTTACCTAGGAGAACGATAAGAGAAAATGCAAATTTTATTTGCTTGTTTAAACAAGATTCTAAAAATGTAAATCATATTTATAATGATCATGTTTCAAATGATATGAAATTAGATGAATTTAAAAAGTTTTGTAATGAAGCTTGGTCAAAAAATCATGGATTTGTTGTTATAGATTTGTCTTCTGATTTATTAAATGGAAAATATAGAAGTGGATTAGATTTATTTTATTATCCAACTTCTTTGTGGAAACAATAAATATATATTTTTAAAAAATATATATTTTTTTTATGAAGACTTAAATAATCGAATTTAATAACTGTTTATTCTTAATTGGAGAATTTTCTGATAATAACAGACCTCTACCTACTGATGAATAATCATTTCCATTTCTTAAATAATACCCATTCGAATAATTTTCACTACCATTCCATGGGTTTAAAAATACTCCTTTTCCTACTTTTCTAATTTTAATTCCATAACCATTCTTTTTTCCATAAATAATACCATTTCCATAATTAATACCTTTTCCAGCAATTTTATTAACTATAGCATTTCCAGCTGCTCCTGCTGCTCCTGCTAATGCTGCTGTTGCAGCAGTCTTTGCAATTATTGGAGCAGCACTTGCAAGAGTTGCTCCAATTAATGCTAGAAAAGGTAAAAATCCACCACTTTTTTTAACATCATATTTAAGTTGTGCTCTACTCAGTGAAAGTGTTATACCCTTATTTTTTAAATAGGCTGCTTTCATTCTGTTTATTTGTGACTCTGTTAAAGCTAATTTGTGTTTACCATTTAAATCTTCATATGATAGTTTTATACTAGCATTAGTACCAGATTCAATTGCGTTTTTAATTTTTTCACTCTGACTTGCTGACAGATTAATAAAAGTATCATGGTATATTGTCATTTTTTATATATAAAATAATTTTTTTAAATCGCTTTCTGTAATGCTTTATACTCATCATCATCTATTTGCCCCTGTCGTAACAACTCATCACAAATAGCAACAATCTCATTTCTTGTTCCAGTATTTCCTGCTTGTAAACCAGCTAAGCGTAATTTAAGCATATCAAATAGTGCATTTGGATCACTAGGAAGAATAACAACTCCTTTTCCATACTTTCCAATCATCTCTTCCCAAATAGGTTTTATTACATTAGTGTACTTATAACCTCTAGATGATTTTGGTTTAGCTAAATTTAAATCAGAGCGAATTGCATCTGTTTGATTTAAAATTTCTTTATACTTATTACGATCATCGTTAGTATATCTAACAGAATGAGATTTTACTATGATTTCCCAAAGGCCTGGTGTACCAATGTATTTTTTACCTTCAATGGTTATATCATCACCTTCAATAGTTATTGGTTTTTTACCAATGTAAAATTTTTTATCACTTTCATTGTAATGTATACCAAATATATCATCTGATACTTTTTTACTATTTTTAGCAGTATATAACTTTAGATATTCTGCTGCGATAGGTCCTAATCTCATGTTATCTACAACTTCAGGTGGCATGATTGCTTTAGTTTCAGAATCTAGTAAAGCAGGATAATTTGAAAAAGTATTTGCTATTTGATCAGCTTTATTTTCTAATTTAGATATACCTTCTTTTATTCCAGATTGACTATCAATTATTGGTTTGTACAACTTTTCCAAGTTAGTCTGTAAAGCATCATAACCTAACTTTTCATTTACATCATCTTGATATATACTTTTCTTTAAACTAGCAAGTTCTTTTGCTATTTTTAATCTTGCATCAATATCTGTAGCTTTTGCATACATTTTTATATAAGTAATAATTTTTTTAAATCACAATGTGATCCCTAGATCCCTAAAGGGATTAAAATCAACATATATTATGTTTTTAATACATAATATATGTTCAAATAATACATAATATATGTTTTTTTATTTAATTCTTAAGAGTATTATTCATCACTCCTATATTCTGATTTTTGTTAAATCTCATATTTAGCAATTCCATAGTTTCTTTCATTGCTTTCTCTTTACCTTGATTAATGAGTGACTCTTTAGTCTGTTCATCTATATCATTCTTAGATTTTGTTCTAATTTGTTCAGTCATATCTTGAAACTTTTCAAGTTCTGAAAGTATCATATTAAATTCTGCATCATCAATATATTGATCTGATATAGCTTTAGAAATAAGACTACTTATTGTATTTAGTTTTGCATCAGCTAGTACTTTAATCTTTTCATGCTTTTCTGCTTTTATTGTTAATTTTTTAATAGCTTGTGATCCTATTAATGATAATACACCCATACCTAATGCTGCACCTTCACATGCAATAGCTACTGGTGTACCAACTATTGTTGTTAAAAAACCAATACCAACAGCTCCAAGTGTCATAGTGCTTGCTAGTAATGTATTATCAACTGCTGAAATGATTCTTACAGCTCTATGATATTTTTTACTTAAAATCTCTCTTCTAATTCTTTCACATTCTATTTTATCTTGAATTTCACTAATCTTTTGTAATCTAAAGTTATGATCTATAGATTGTGGTGGTGCAGATGGATTTTCTGAAAACTGGTTAAGATCTGGATAAAGCTGCTTACATTCATTATTATATCCATTATTACATAGCATTTTCTTTTTTCTATAAAGAAAAATTTGTTTTAAATCACTTTTGCGATCAATGCTTCGCTAAATCACTTTTTACCAAAATTAAATATATCTTCATCAGATTTATCTATACTAGGTTTATCTTTAATTACTTCTTCTATACTTGATAATAAAGATTTTACAGATTCTTTATCACTTTTCTGTTTAGTTCCTGAGTCATTTTGTTGTCTAATTTGTTCTTCTTTAACATGTTCTAAAGCATCTCTATGTGATATATAATTTGCATTTAAAACACCATTATAAGTTGATATACAACATAACAAATCTCCTTTTTTAATGTTTATATCTTTTTTATCGTTATTATATACAGTTATTTTAATATTGTCAGTAGACTCTGTTACAATAGAATTTAGTAAAATTAGTTCTGGTTTATAATTTTCTGCAATTGAAATCACTATATGTCCTTTATCTATTTCAACTCCACACATTAAAGAAATGTTATTATATGAATTTGATTTTACTGTAAAATCTTCTTGTGCGAATACTTTAATATGTCTATCATTTATTGCTCTATGTTCTAAATCTGAATTAATATAAAAAGTTATTCTATATTGTTCATGCTTTTCATAATATAAAAACATTCTACTATTATACATTTTATAAATGTAAAGATTTTTTTAAATCACTATAAATATAATACTTTTAAAGTATTATATTTTTCATTTTTTTAAAGTTCTTGCAATATAATTTAAAATGCTTTCACCTTGATGTAAAAAATTACACTTTTTATTATTATTTTTATATATTAACATTTTTTCTCCTTTTTTATTTTTCTTTAATTTACTCTCTACTAATTTACATGGAGTATAATGACAAATTTCTACATTTTCTTCAATTTCTTTAAAAGAATGAGCATATTTGCAATTTATATTTTTACATTCTTTTTTATCAAGAATATATTTGCATAATTTAGTTTTAGCTTTTCTTAATTTAAATAATTCTGACTTTTTTGGATGAAATAAAACACACTCTTTATTCCTACATTTAGGGTATTCAGAACATAGAGATAAATGTCTATATTGACATGAAGATTTAGTACATATTAGTCTTTCCTTTACAGTATTACAATAAGGAATATCATGATTGTATTTACATTTTCTTCCAAAAGGACAATAATTATCATTTAAAATATTTTTACAAAAAATGGGTAGTTTCTCTACAAAATGAATTGTTGAAGGTTTTCCGTCTTCAGTAAAATTAATATCTACATTAAATGGTTTTTCAAAACTAAATTTTCTTTTTTTGTAATGTTTTTTTGTTAAGAAACTATCTATAGCAGGATAATCATCATTAATAACATTATAAGTTGGAACATAATTAATCCATTTCAGCTTATCTTTATGCAGTTCCATGATTTGAACTGTTTTTAAAGGAATTGGAACTATAGGTTTTTCTTTAACTTCATCTTCATCATCAGATGTAAAATAAGTAGCTTCATCAGATGTATAATAAGTGTCATCTTCAGAATCTGATTCTTCAAATTCAAATTTTAATAATTCTTCAAAAAGTTTAAATTCTTTTTGAAATTCAGATATTTCATTAATTTCATCATCATTCATTTTTATTTTTTATTATTTGTAAAAATATTTTAAATCAAAAAAATTGAAAATGAATTAAATAATTTTCTTTTATATATAAAAAGAATGGAAAACGAAATGCAAAATTCATTTTTAAAATCAATTGAACAAAGATTAAGATTAATTGAAGAAAAATTAAATATTATTAATATTCATGATATTGAAATGACTGAAGATTCTGAAGTTACTACAGTTACTACTACTGAAGTTACTGAAATTACAGAAACTACTGAATATAGTGATGATATTGAAATGACTGAAGAAGATGATGAAGATGATGAAGATGATGAAGATGATGAAGATGATGAAGATGATGAAGATGATGAAGATGATGAAGATGATGAAGATGATGAAATATTAAAATATGTACATGAATTAGGGTATAAAAGTACAAAAGATGCTTTTGAAAATGCTGCTAAAAATGGAAATCTTGAAATTATTAAACATTTACATGAATTAGGGTATAAAGCTTCAAAATATGAATTTGATTGTGCTTTTGAAAAAGCTGCTAAAAATGGCAACCTTGAAATGTTAAAATATTTACATGAATTAGGGTATAAAGCTTCAAAATATGAATTTGATTGTGCTTTTTCAAAAGCTGCTAAAAATAGCAATCTTGAAATATTAAAATATTTACATGAATTAGGGTATAAAGCTGAAAAATATGAATTTAATCGTGTTGTTAAAAGAGGAAATCTTGAAGTAATTAAATACTTGTATGAATTAGGGTATAAAGGTACAGAAGATACATTTAATTCTGCTGTTGAAAGCGGAAATCTTGAAGTAATTAAATATTTTCATGAATTGGGGTATAAAGGTACGGAATATGCATTTAATTGTGCTTTTGAAAAAGCTGCTAAAAATGGCAACCTTGAAATGTTAAAATATTTACATGAATTAGGGTATAAAGCTTCAAAATATGAATTTGATTGTGCTTTTTCAAAAGCTGCTAAAAATAGCAATCTTGAAATATTAAAATATTTACATGAATTAGGGTATAAAGCTGAAAAATATGAATTTAATCGTGTTGTTAAAAGAGGAAATCTTGAAGTAATTAAATACTTGTATGAATTAGGGTATAAAGGTACAGAAGATACATTTAATTCTGCTGTTGAAAGCGGAAATCTTGAAGTAATTAAATATTTTCATGAATTGGGGTATAAAGGTACGGAATATGCATTTAATTGTGCAGTAATTGAAAGTGGAAATCTTGAAGTAATTAAATATTTGCATGAATTAGGGTATAAAGGTGCAGAATGGGCAAATAATTTAGCTGTTAAAAAAGGATATATTTTATAATTTTGATACATGTAGTTACTATAAATTCTAGTAGTGATAAAGCTAACCAATGCTTCACTACTACGCATAAGCGCTACTATGCATAAGTAAATCTAGCGCATGCGCATTAAAAATAAAAAAATTGAAAATGAATTAAATAATTTTCTTGTATATATAAAAAAGAATGGAAGACGAAGAAAAAAATAAAAATAAAAATAATGTTATTAAAATATTAAAAGCAATTATTCGCGCTATAGAAAATGGTAACCTTGAACGAGTAAAATATTTGCATAAATTAAAGTATTATTATGAAGAATTAGCAATTAATTATGCTACTGAAAATTATGACTTTGAATTTGAGCAACAATTATATAAATTTAAGTATAAATATGAAAAATGTGCAATTAGTTCTGCTGCTATAAACGGTCACTTTGAAGTAGTAAAATATTTACTTGAAATTGGATATAAAGTTGATAAATTAGCAATTAGTTATGCTGCTATAAATAACCACTTTGAAATATTAAAATATTTACATGAATTAGGGTATGAATGTTATGATTGGACAATTGATTATGTTGCTAAAAATGGTCACCTTGAAATATTAAAATATTTACATGAATTAGGGTATAAATAAGAAGCAAGAAAAATCACGTGATGTCATGCAAGAATTTTTCGTAATATTTCATAACAAGAAATAAAAAATTAACACTTATTTTAAAAAATCAATTTTTTAAAATAAAAAATTATTTCTTATCTAAATAAATTATACACAACATGGTTCAATGTTAACCTTATATTAATATTAATTTATGGTTGAAAATTTGGTTGAAAATAAAAATGTTCTATGAACTCTCATTTTCCTACTACTCCCATCCACTGTTGCCTAAATGCTCAAAGACTGTAAACATACTTAACATATTATAGGAATCGTTGTTTGTAGAGAGACACCTACAGAAGGCTTTAGAACACACTACAGGCATTGCAAGCCCTCGAATCAACCTGGAACGCGAGAAGATGTTCAAGATAATGAATGGAGATTGCTTCTATCCGATGACCAACTGGCCACTCGATATCCAAATTATATTCTGGAACTATGTCACCTCAGACCTGGAAACCTTTAAACTGACAATATTTTTCCTAGGGAATGGTTGCTCGCCATTTGTTCTATTCACATTTCTCATCTTAGGGTTCAAAAGAGACCCATCTAAATTTAATAAACGAATTTATCAAATCAAATGGATTACAAAAAACTTAAAATCACACAACAGCAGATGGTACTACTTCGACATTCACTTCAATCAAATGAGATACCTCAACCTACAACCTCTCCCTTACCAGAAACGAAACCGTGACACTATTTTTGACGATATCTGAAAGACGAAGAGCGGACATGAATCTTTATAAACAATACACTTAACGAAATAATATAACACGAACCTGTAATTTTTTAGACGATTTATATGCTTATTTAAATATGTAAATATCAAAATATGCGAATACTGACTCATTTATTTACTAATTAATCCTTCTTTATAATGCCACTCATCACAGGATAACACAACACGCGTTGCAAAGCATATAACACACTACTGTATTTATCAACAATCAGTGCTTTATGCATATACATTTCTCTCCCGGCCAACATCTCCTATAATCTTGTATAAGCATCCATATGTAATTAATAACTATTATTCACAATTTTACTCATACTAAAATACCACTATTTGGGCACTCACAAAACAAAGGACAACCACATACCAATAATTGCCATACCACTTATATATAGTAAAGAAACAGTAAAATACATGCAATACAAAAATGATACACGCTATTACTTACCTTTAGGACAACGAACGAAAATTCACTCCATCAAATGAGAGAAAAGCAATTGGTCCGTTCAGCATGAGAACTCTTTTTCCACCGGGCGAAAACTTTAGACATGACAGGGACTTTAAACGATTGGTGGACAGCGAAAAGGTAAGAATGCTAACAGCCCTGACTGACAAAATGATAACAAACATATCCGACCACGTACTGACAAATGAAGAAAAGGAAGCACTTGGAAAAGGACTGAAATTTATTCCCAATTCACAGAAAGTAGGAAGAGAAGTATACGAGGCTAGTGTGGAGAAATTCAAAAGAAAACTACGACTCAAGATGTTCTTCAAGGATAGAAAGGAGCAGAAGAGATCCGTATTCTACAAGAAATCCAGCTGGAGAATGAAAACATACTCGAATATTTTGGCAAGATAGACAGAGATCTAGAAGAGATGTGGAACAGAGAGATACCGAGAAAAAGAAACAACTTGAAACCAGAGGTATGGCGAGCACTGAAAAACCTACAAAACAACCGAGACATTATTATCAAAAAAACTGACAAAGGGGGAGGGCTCTGCATCATGAACAAAACAACATACGAAGAGAAAGTGAATGAACTACTAATGGACAGAACAGTATACAGAGAGCTCCAGACTGACCAAACGAATAATATTGTGAGAGGAATTACTGACATGTCAAACTACATGCTTAAACTTCATAAAATTAACGAACAGACTGCAGAGTTCCTTCTTCCCCACAAACCATGTAGACCACCACTATTTTACGGACTTCCAAAAATTCATAAACCTAACATTCCATTACGACCAATAGTCAGCGCATGCAGCGGACCTACGGACAACCTATCAGAATACCTGACAAGATTCATACAACCACTGGTCGAATCACTACCAGCCTACATTAAGGACAGTATACACTTTCTCAACATGTTACAAAATATACGACTTCAATCTTCAGAATTCATTTTTGTGACGGCTGACGTGACATCACTCTACACCAACATCCCACACAGAGATGGCATAGACGCAGTAGTACATTACTTGAGGCTCATACCATTACAAGATAGACCACCTGACTGCCCATCACCAGGTATCATAGGCAACCTAATAGAAGAAATACTATCAAACAGTACTTTCTCCTTTGGTGACAAACACTACCATCAACTGACAGGTACATCAATGGGCACACGGGTTGCGCCATGCTATGCGAATTTATTCATGGGAAGGCTTGACGAACAAATCACTAACCAATTTCCGAACCACATTACTTTCTACAGAAGATTCATCGACGACATATTCTTCATTTTTCAAGGACCCATAGAAGTGTTAGATCAGATCTGCAACTTCATGAACACCATCCATCCAACAATCAAATTCACTTTCAACCACTCAGCAACATCAATAAACTTTCTAGACATACTACTAAAATGAACAAGGTAACATTCACACGACCATCTATCGAAAACCAACTGACACAATGGGACTACTTCACTATGACTCACATCATCCCACACACACCATTCCGGGCACCATATACAGCCAAGCTCTCAGATACTGCACTATCATTACAGAACTTAACAACCTACAAAAAGAACTTAAATACTTAACTATGACACTAGTACTAAGAGACTATCCTCTGCACATCATTAACAATAACATTAAGAAAGCGCTTCATAAAACGCAACATGAACTTATCAACAACAGGCGCGCGCAGGAAAATACAGAAAGACTAACAATAGTTACTCCATATACTCCCATTGGACAACAAATCAACAGCATCATTCTTAACAACTGGAACATGATTGACCCTAACTTACAACTACAGGACATATTTCCACACAAACCACTATCAGTACATACAAACTTAAAATCTATTAAAGATTTACTAATACACACTAAACACCAACAATAACAACTGCACAAAAGAATATTAGCTTTTATTGCAACCTCTCTATCGACAACATCATCCAAATGGAAACTCAAAACTTCTTAAGAACTTAAATTTCCGGTTCATCAAGACTCTACAAACTAACGCAAATTTATCATCGGCATTTTTGGCCTCGCTCTCCTCAGTCTCTTATTCAGCATAAAAGCCATTTCTAAAACCGCATGCTATTCTGTTTGAACTCTGATACAGAGCGGTGAGTTTAAAATTCAATTTATTTACATTCTCTGGATATTTAGACGGATTAAGATTCTTATCAATCTTGACATTTCCTGTATATCTTTGTTTATTTATAATTCTAAATTTAACTTTTATAACAATGACGAGTTAATATTCATCATCAAGAAAATCTTACATCTTCGTCACGATTTAAACCCAAAAGATAATATTTACTTTCAGAATGGTAAGCAAACATGTTTTTGTTACTTAACTTTCTTTTATTCCATTCACAATTATATCTATTGATAAAGTTTATGTACCAACATTTATTTATAAGGGGACAAATGTCTATGTTTTTTCTTAAGTAGCTAAATGCTACTAAGTTTTTAACTATAGTAAAAGTTTATAAGTATGTACCAATATGACTATCACTTTATGTTGTATGTCTATGGTACAGAATAAATGTCATAAGATATCTGTGTAAATGTTTACATTAACATTCCTAAACAGATATACAAAAACCCTGGTCAATATTGACCAAGAAAAGAACATATTAAGGTTAAGACATACCACCCCATTATAAAATACTGGTGTTTTACAAATTCTGAGCACGTGCTCCATTTTAGCAAAGTAGTGTCCACAGGGTGTCGACCATTGGTCAGGCGCCAGACCTTCGAAACTCCCTGATGACAACTAATGGTCCTGATGAGAATGTCATCTTGACACTACATGGGTAATTGGATATTAAAACACCTATATTTTGATCATCTACACTTCAATACACTTATGCTTATCATTCTAATATTTATACTGATACTTCTAGAAGCTATATTTGCTGATTTATGTCTATAAGGCTACACTTTACTAAGATTAGATCATTAAAACATTACTCCAACACCTATTCAACACAAAAAAATGTGTGAAATAGCTATTGTAATGTATATAATACATATAAATGATTTAGGGATACTTAGGAGAATATATGTATATATAATCATAGGGGCATATGTATGTATGTATATGGGTGTATGTGCATATGTATGTATGTGTATATGTATGTATGTATATATATATATATATAT